CACGGCAGCGCGGTGGGCCAGGTCTTGCTCGGCCAGCGAGGCGAGAGACGGCCGCGCGCCCTCTGCGATCTCCGGCTCGCTCGCCACCTGTCACCCGCCGTCGATAAGGGTCACTTCCAGTGCCTTGAACCTCTGCATCAGCACGTCGCACACTTGTGCCAAAGTGCTGCTCTCCAAGCAAGTCCAGGGCTGTCGCCAGCGGCTGCAGCTCTACCCTGTTCACCCGCAGCTGCGGTACCGGGTGATGTCCGAGCACAGCCGCCTGAACGCGATGTTCTTCCTCGCATCGTCGCACAGCGCGCCGGGCCGCCTATCCGCCAACGGCCTCACGCTGCCGCCGCGAGATGAAAACACGGCCCGCCATCGGGATCGTCATCAGTGTCACTGCGGCTGACCGAAACGCTCCGAGCACAGCGACGCCAGCGGCCGGCTTGGCCCCTCGGCCCGCCGCCACCCGCCGCCAGCGCATGGGCAGCAGCAGCAGCAGCGGGCGTCAGGCGCTCAGCCTGGAGCCTCCCGCGAGCGCCTCAGCAACACAGGCGCCCTCGCCGCCGCCGCGGCCGCCGAAGGCATTCGGGCGGATCCGAGGCCCCACGAGCGACCGACCCGAACGCAGGCGCAGCCACTCCACGTGGACGACGGCACGCCCCGGCCGAGGCGGCCCCAAACAGTGGGGAAGGCCGCCCGCGCGCAGGTGGAGGGGTCCTGCCGGCCCTGCGCCAGGGCATCCAGGCGCAACGCTTCATAGGCCAGCGAGGCGCCTCTGAACTGGGCACTCAGGCGCACGCCAGCAGGCCCAGGGACCCCTGCGTCATCGACCTCGAACTCTGCGGCGCCGTCGGTGCCAGTTGTCGCGTCGAAGGTCGGCAGCTCCACGTTCATGGCCTGTGTCCGCCCACGAAGGCTGCCACCCGCACCCACGGGCCGCCCGCCCGCGACCCCACGGACGCCCCAGCCGCCGCCAGCCCGCGGCCGCCCCGCACGCCCAGCTGTCCCGCAGGAGCCCCCACTTCCGAGGAGGCAGAAACTGCGGCGCACGCCGCGGGCCTGTCTGCACGGGGCGAGGAGCTCGCCGCCCGCGGCCCGCGAAAGCTGCCTGCGAGGAAGAGACCGCTCTCGTCACGCTGTTCGATGGCACTCGGGAGGGCCGCAGGGTGCTGGAGACGTTGGGCCTCGTGCCCGCGGTGCACCTTTCCCTCGAGACCGCGGGCTGCGCGCGCGGCCCGCAGGGCCTACCCGGGGACGCAGCACCTGGGCGACGTGACGGCCGCTGACCCGGAGGCCCTGGAGGGTCTCCTGCGCGCGCGGCGGCGCATCTCACGCTTGCCGGCGATCGGCGACCTCCCCTGCCAGGCGCAGCACCTCGCGAGAATCGCGGAAGGCCTGAAGCAGGCGCCCCCGGAGGCGCAGGTCGACTTTCTGGGCGAGAACGTCGCGTCGGTGGCCGAGGCGTACGTCCTCTGCCTCAGTTCGTTCTTCCATCGCATCTCTGTTGAGATCGAGGCTGGCGACCTCGGCCACTGGGCGTCGCAGGACCTGCCCCCGCCTTCCAAGGCCGAGGCGACCGCGGCGACAGCCAAGAGCCGGGAAGTCCGACGCGCGCGGCACGTGACTGAAGACGACGCGGCCGCCGCTCAAGGAGCGGCTTCATCGCGGGGCGCGCTGCCCTGGCGCGGCCGATGGCGAGCCGCTGCCGACGCTCGCGCGGTGGACCCCCCGCAGCCAGCATCGCCCCAGGCCCGCGGGCATCGGGGCGCGCTCGGCTGCCGAGCTGGCGCGGAGGGAGGCCGCAGGCTTCGCGTCGCCGCCGCTCCATTCCCGGGACAAGCGGCGACTTCATTGGCCTGGCGGCAGCGTCGAGCCCCCGCCCGCCAGCGCCCGTGAGCGGCTGGTGGGGCTCGCTGAAGTCCACCTCCGAGTGCGAGGCCCTGCGGCGCCCGCTCATCGGCAACTCCTTCCAGCGCAAGGTAGTGGCCTGGCTTGTCAGGCACTGGGCCGTGGCCGCTGCGCTACCGGCGTCGGCCCAGCGGGGCCTGGGCCGGCGGCCCCAGGCCGCGGGCCGGCGGCGCGACGCCTCCGAGGCGCGGCCGCGCGCAGGCCAGCGAGAAGATGTTGGGCGCCTTGCGGCAGCCGCGGGGCCCAATCTACGTTGGGCGAGGCTCTCGCCGCAGGCAGCTGGCCCTGTCGCGCAGGGGCAACCCCTTGGGCGCGCACCCAGACCGCCCGCGCGGCGACGCGGTCGCCCTCGTATGCGAGTTGGCTGCAGGCGCAGCTCGAGCTGCCGGCCGCGTTGGAGGAGTGTGAGGGATGTGCAGAACTGGGGGTGAATGCGCCTGCGGACCCTGCAGCTGGGGCCTTCGGTGGAGGTCGTTGTGGGGCCACGACCCGTGTGTGGGGTGTACCTCATGGGGAGCGAGTACGCCATGCGGACCCTGCCGCTGGGGCCGTCGGTCTAGTTCCCTGCAGGGCCACGAAGCTTGTGAGGGGTGTGCCGAATTGGAGACGTGCGCGCCAACCTTGCAGGGTGTCCTGAACTGGGGGCGGAAACGCCATGCGAGCCCCCTGCAGCTAGGGCCGTCGGTGGAGGTCGTTGTGGGGCCACGAACCGTGTGAGGGGTGTACCGCATCGGGGGCGGCCATGAAACGATTGAGGGGTGTACCGGGCAGCTGGGGCCTTCGGTGGAGATCGTTGTGGGGCCACGAAACGTGTAAGAGGTGTGCCGAACTGGGGGCGGCACGCCATGCGGACCCTGCCGCTGGGGCCGTCGGTTTAGTTCCCCGCGGGGACACGAAGCGTGTGAGGGGTGTGCCGAAGTAGGGGCGGGGCGGGTCAACATTGAAGTTGGGGCCTTCGGTGGAGCTCCCAAGTGGGACCATGAAACGTTTGAGGGTGTGCCGACTTGGGGGCGGGTACGCCATGCGGACCTTGCCGCTGGGGCCGTCGGTCTAGTTCCCTGCGGGGCCACGAAGCGTGTGAGGGTGTGCCGAATTCGGAGGCGGGTGCGCCTGCGGACCCTGCAGCTGAGGCCTTCGGTGGAGCTCCCTGTGAGACCATCAAACGTTTGAGGGGTGTGAGCTGGGGGCGGGGACGCCATGCGAGCCCTGCAGCCAGGGCCGTCGGTGGAGGTCGTTGTGGGGCCACGAACCGTGTGAGGGGTGTACCGCACTGGGGACGGCCATGAAACGATTGAGGGGTGTACCGGGCAGCTGGGGCCTTCGGTGGAGATCGTTGTGGGGCCACGAAACGTGTAAGAGGTGTGCCGAACTGGGGGCGACACGCCATGCGGACCCTGCCGCTGGGGCCGTCGGTCTAGTTCCCTGCGGGGCCACGAAGCGTGTGAGGGGTGTGCCGAATTGGAGACGTGCGCGCCAACCTTGCAGTCGGGCTCTTCGATGGAGCTCCTTCTGCGACCACGATGGTGTGTCGCATTGGGGGCGGGGGCACCATGCGAACCTTGCAGCTCGGGCCTTCGGTGAAGGTCGTTGTGGGGCCACGAAACGTTTGAGGTGTGTGCAGAATTTGAGGCGGGTGCGCCATCGAGGCAGGTGAGAGATGTGCCGAATTGGAGGCGGGCGCGCAGACCCTGCAGTTGGGGCCTTCGGTGGAGCTCCCTGTACGGCCACGAAACGTGTGAGTTTTGTGCCAAAGCGGGGGCGGGTGTGCCATACGGACCCTGCAGCTGGCGCCTTCGATGGAGCTTCTTGTGGGGCCACGAAACGTTTGAGAGGTGGGTGCGCCTGCGGACCCTGCCTCTGGAGCCTTCGGTGACGCTCCCTGTGGGGCCACGAAACGTTGGAGGGGTGTGCCGACGAGGGGGCGGGTACGCTATGGACCTTGCCGCTGAAGCCTTCGGTGGAGCTCCTGGTGAGGCCACGAAGCGTGTGAGGGGGTTGCCGACGAGGGGGCGGGTACGCCATGCGGACCCTGCCATCGGAACCATCGATGGAGTTCCCCGTGGGGCCATTAAACATATGAGAGGTGTGCAGAACTGGGGGAGGGTACGCCTGTGGACCCTGCAGCTGGGACCCTCGGTGGATTTCCTTATTGAGCCACGAAACGTGTGAGTGATGTGCCGCATTGGGGGCGAGTGCGCCATGCAGGCCCTGCCGCTGGGGCCGTCGGTGGATCCCTGTGGGGCACGAAGCGTGTGAGGGGTGTGCCGAATTAGGGGCGGGTGCGCCAACACTGAAGTTGGGGCCTTCGATGGAGCTCCCCAGTGGGACCACGAAAGGTTTCAGGGGTGTGCCGACTTGGGGGCAGGTACGCCATGCGGACCCTGCCGCTGGGGCCGTCTGTCTACTTCCCTGTGGGGCCACGAAGCGTGTGAGGGGTGTGCCGGGTGGTGGACGGGAGCGCCTGCGGACCTTGCAGCTGGGGCCTTCGGTGGGGCTACCTGTGGGACCATCAAACGTTTGAGGGGTGTGCCGAACTGGAGGCGGGGACGCCATGCGAGCCCTGCAGCTTGGGCCTTCGGTGGAGGTCGTTGTGGGGCCACGAACCGTGTGAGGGGTGTACCGCAGTGGGGGCGGTACGCCATGCGGACCCTGCCGCTGGGGCCGTCGGTGGCATTCCCTGTGGGGCCACGACGCGTGTGAGGGGTGTGCCGAACTGGGGGCGGGTACGCCTGCGGACCCTGTCGCCGGGGCCTCCACTGGGTTCCACGCCTCGCCGTTCGAGTCTCAGACGGTCAGCCCCCACCCCCGCACCGACACCTCTTTGAGCCGCGAAGGTCTGGAGATTTTTCCCACCCTCGCTGCCAGCCTGGTCCAGTTCGCACCAAACACCCAGTTTCCTTCGCACTCTCCTTCTAGCTGGAAAATCGATGCGGCTTGGTAGCGAGTGCGGCCCAGTTGCTGCTGCTGCTGCTGCTGCTGCTGCTGCTGCTGCTGCTGCTGCTGCTGCTGCTGCTGCTGCTGCTGCTGCTGCTGCTGCTCCATCGCCTTGTATCCTTGCTTCGGCTATGATGATCTTCGCCAAAGCCGCTCCCGTACCGGGCTAG